AGTGAGTGAGTGAGTGAGTGAGTGAGTGAGTGATTGAGTGAGTGACAGTCTCGTCCCTCTCCAATAACTCTTCGATTGCTTCGCAATCTTCGAGTTAAAAATTAGACAACTTTTGATATCATACGTTCTATCTTTCATTTTTCGAATTTTAAAACTGTTGAAACTGCTTGTATTTCAGTAGGGAGACAAGAGCTAGTGCAAACGCAAGCACAAGCGCAAGTACAAGCGCAAAACACGAGAGACCAACGCAGTGATAAAGCAAACGCAAGATATCAGAATATTCCTTTTATCTTGCGCTTACTCTTGTGCTTGCGTTTAACATAACACAAGTGCAACCTTTTTGTTTCTGCCTTTAACTATGCTTGTCTGTAGTATTACCTTGAGCTGTTGTAGTCGAGTTTCTGTCAAAGCTCCAACAGGTTTACTTAGATCTCTAAACGTTGATGGATTTGTTAAGTCTGCGTAAAGAGAACATGGCTTTGTTAAACACATCTTAGCGTTCGCACTGAGTTCTGATTTCTTGTATAGAAACAGATCCAACAAGTGATGTATTTAAATGCTGAGAGAGATTGTTACCTAAAGTGGTGCTTGTGTAGTCTGCCAGTACCCATGGGAATACTGGATATTGCGTTAAATCATTGAAACTTCTATCAGCTAAACTAAAATAAGAAGAACGGATATATATGACATTAATCTTCGCAAAATCATCGTCATCATAATCATCAATGTCATCATCATCATCATCATCATCATCAATTTTATCATGATTATATTTATCATCAGGGGACATCAAGCACAGAGGCTGCTATTAGCATGTTGCCTTATGTTGGAGAATAGAGACATTGAATTGGATGATATTTCATGAATATCATACTCAGCCTCACATAATAATTCTTCATATYACACTCAGCWTTGGCCAATACAATTCTTCATATTATAATCAACCTCAACCGATAATTCTTCATGTCATAATCAGCCTCAACCAATAATTCTTCATATCATACTCAGCCTCTAACAATAATTCTTCATATCATGCTCAGT